TGGAAGGCCCCCGTCTGTGGTAAGCACGGGGCAAATGGCCGTTACTCTTCCGGGGATGGTAGCTGTTGTCATACAGTCTGGTCCCCGCCTGCCTCTCAACCCTATTTCCTGTCACTTCCTCTCATTCTAGGCCACCCCTGTGCGAACTAAGCTGTCCACGGCTCCCTGCACACACCCTCTGAAGATCCCTGGCCTTCTTGTGTGGCCGTCGCTGTGCTGTGTGTAGGCCAAGTAACCACTTGGAGGGATGTTGCAGAGGCATACTGAAGCCAGAGAAGGGAACTGAGAGGAGTGACATTCTCTTTAAAGTTGCTTTAGGCGCTAAGATTCCCTCAGATCAACAAAGAAAACAGGCAGATTAGCAGCACAACATTGGATATGCTCGAGGGTGTTCTTGGACTTCTCCCTGGGTGCCTGGGATCCTCTGGTCATTTTTAGCACTCTAGCCCAGGGAACCTTCTGTTCCTTCTGTTCCAGAGTACTGAGCACAGCGGGAAGACACCAGGGGTGCAAGTTCTGGAGAAAGGCATTTCAGCAAACGTAAGGCAGAGATGGGCCTCACAGGAAGTCGCAAGCTTGGCGACAGACCTCGCTGCTGGCCCTCCAGCAAGGGCCTGAGGCCCCTCAGTGGAAGTTTCTTCAGCAGCGAAATGGGGATATGACTACCCCATGTAGGGCTCCAGTTGAGTCAGCGGCTACAGTTGGTCCAGTAAATCTCCTTCCCTCCCTTCTCCTTCCTCTCCCTGTCATTAGGGGGGACTCGGCAGTGTGTTCAGGGGATTTAGAGGAACAGATGGAGACTACCCAGGTTACAGGGAAGTGGGTTGCAGGCAGGGGTGGGGGGCAGATGGTAGGAGGCCCCAGACCAGACAAAGGGATCCGGGCAGGGAGCAGTCAGGAGCCAGTCAGGAGCGGGCTCTAGCTGTTGTCGCGCTCCCCTCTTCCTCCCCCTCTTCCTTCTTTGTGCACATTTCAGAGGTTCAAAATAGCAGGGCTCGTTTTCATGAATGCAGACTTGCACGCTGCCTCCCCAGCATGGGAAGCAGCTACAAGGCTGCCCAGACCCGCCCTGGAAAGCAAAATAAAACACCGTGTGCCGGGACAGCTCTTCCTGCTTCCACTGGCTGGCTGGGAGGGGGCTTTCCTGCAATGCTTTCCAGGGAGGCTGGGGAGGGCGGGGCAGGTGCCACATGGGCTCTGGATTCCTGTTTCACGGGGCCTCTGGCCAGCGGGTGCCTGCAAGGCTCCTGCCCCTCTGAGCCCCTGTCTGCCCCACTGGCCTGGCCAATCCCACCTCACGCTCCATGCCCAGCACACACTAACCCACTTGTACTGGCTGCTCCCAGGAGGCAGGGATTACCCCAGGATACTGGGGCCATCTGGCGAGGGAACTAAGTCCACAGTCTGTCAGAGCTGGGCTCAAGGACCTTCCTCCCTCGAGCGGCAGGTTCACTGCACTGCCGCAAATCTTTCCTGCACAACAACTATCTACTAGGCACTGTGGGAAAGGAGCCTGCTCCTTCTCACTCTTCCGGGATTCTGAGGTGCACTCTCGGGGGACAGGGGTGAGAACTTCTAGGTGCAGAACTAATCGAGGTGCCTACTGACTGAGCCACCACCATGCGTCTCTAAGTCTCAGTGCGAGCATCTGTAAACCTCTCCTCATGAAAAACAGCGGCACGCAAGGCGAAAACAAATGCCCACTACAACATCTGACTGATGAGCTGTAAAACTAACAAAGGAGCTAATTCTTACTGGTACCTTGTCAGTGAAAGAGCCACTGTAAAAGCACTTAAAATTGTGAGGAACCTCAAACACTAAGACACTTTTTCTAACCTGAAGTAATTTTTTCTGCCACCCTAAATAACGATGATAAGAGTACAAAGTCCTTACTAAGTGTCAGGCACCATTCCAGACATCCGGGACTGCCAGTAACCCTGGGGGCTAGACATTACCTTGAGCTCCTGTTTTACAGGTGTAAAAACTTGGGCACAGAGTAACACGGCCTGGACCACACAACTCTCTAGAATACTCCGTTAGTCTCCATTTTGCTCCAGCGGCCCAGCCCCTGCTTTCCACTGTCTCTTGGTCCCCGGTGAGTTGACTAGTTGACTAGTCGGGTGCCATGGGGTACAGCTAGTCCTCTCAGCAAAGTGCCCCTCTGTCTTGCCCTCTTTATATCAACAAACACAGTGGCAGGCGGCTCCTTACAAACTAGAAGAATCCTCCAGACGTTTACAAACTCCTCCGTCTCCTTAGGAGACTTGGTTTCTGCCAGGCCTAACCCTTGCAAGGGAAACAGCCTCTGGGAGAAGCAGCCAGTGAGTGCTGGTGTCTAATCGGAGAAGACAGAGAGGAAAGAAGTGGTTTTTGACAGCTGCTGGGCGAGGGGGGTGGAATCATGCAACCTCCAGAAATGGTGTCAGTCCCCACAGCTGTCCACACAGCTGCCGGCTACCCCGGGCCCCATCTTTACCCTGCGCCACCCTTTCTGTGTCTCAGTGGTGAATGGGCTCCGGCCACTCAACTCGGGCTGGGGCCTGAGGGACCTGTTAGGTGAGAGGTGACACATTGCGTGCCCACAAATGGTTCGGTTTCCCCATCAGAGGGCGGAATGGCCGCCACTCAGCAGATCCTGAGCTGGGGAACCAGCTGGGGAACCTGCCCTGCCCAGGAACAGGAAGCCCAAGACATGGGGGAGCCCAGCCACTCTGCAGTGGCTGTTAAAAGTCTCTTACAGAGACTGAGCCCGGTGACACAAAAGCCTCTGCCATAAACATGATCAGCAAGAGGTTTCTGGAAACTTTCTTGGGTGCAGAAAGGCAAAAGAGGTGCTGCGCATATGTGCCTTTACGCTCCAGAATACCAGCAGGCCACTTGGGAGCTGCCCGGGTTTTTCCTTTCGCAGGCACCCCCGAGTGTTTCTGTAACTCATTCCTGCAGCCCGGGGGTCTCCGGGAGAGCGCTCAGGTGCCATTTTGAAATTGCTCCTGTCTACCTAAACCTTGCACATTTCCGGACTCTTACCAGAACGCTTCGAAAACTTCCTGAGCTGAAAAAGCTCCCTTCGAAATATGCAGTTCAGCTTTTAAATGTCATCCTCAGATTTTAGAGATAATGGAATGGCATCTTTGGCATTCAGCACTGGCCCTTTTAGTGATCACTTTTATAATTTAGAAAACGTCAGGAACAGCAAACGAAAAGAACTTCCTCCTTGCCAGGCAGCAAGTCAACAGCAGCAGAGCTTGAACTTGACTTAGTTTTCCAAGGTGGGGGGCTGTGGACTCGCTAAACGCCTGATCAATGCACCTCCAGCTCCAGCCGGCAGCTATTGCGGCCAGTTGACTTGGGGGCTCACAAAAACGAGGGCGATGGGAAAATATGGATGTCACAGTGATGAAACTAACAAACAAGCAACAACAAAAATCAGGGTGCTTTACCTACCACTCAAGTCAAGAAGGCAGGCTAGCGGGGAGACAAAGGGCCGGTGAGGGCGAGGCGGAAGCCCACGCCGGCCAGAAAGCTGACTCACAGGAATCGAGCCCCTGCGGGGGGCGAGGCCCCCGGGCCCCCGCTGCAGCCTGCGGCCGCGGCTCGGCCCAGACAAAGCGGTGGCGCAGTAAAGGAATGCCAGCCCCCCGCACCACCCCGGCCCTCCGACCCTCAGGCTCTGCGCTGCGGCC